CACATTTTTCTGTACTATAAAAGTTCAGCATCGACTAACAAACGACAGTCTAAACTTTTTAATCGATGAAGCGTCGGTAATCGTTGATCGTGAACCGAGGCTCGTTTATCTCGCATTCCTGGCCACTTCCTTCTAATTACCGCTTCATTTTCATCGCGTTTTTAATTAGAACTTCGTCCGAGGCTGAAAACGCGAGTTACAGACAGTTAAAAGTTTTTGTTCGCCACTTGCCTTTCTTCTCTCATTTTTTACGTAATACCGTTTACTCGTTATTGCATGTTTAACGAGTTCGTTTATTATTCAAACGTGTTAACGACTTACAGGCACAGTGAACACGAGAATAATCCACCGCCGTGTACAGTAGGGATCATCGTTACGTCGCCTAACAAACATTTTCTAGGTAAAGTGTGAGTACGATCTTAGTAATTAAGGCCATAGACTTCTTTAAGAATTGTCGTATGAAGTAATCACGTGGTTAATAATGATGGATTGCACAGAACAGGATTAAGTCAGATTGCGTTAGGTCGTATAAAAATTTTCACACTCCCATGATTAATGGGCCAAGAATTTTTTTCGTAGTCTAGAAGAATGCAATATTATTTAAAAAAATGTAACATAAAATGTATGGCAAATTATCCTAAACAGTTGTAAAAACTATTTTAGAAATATGGATTTCTCTCTCAATACGAGAATTATTGATTGAATATTACAAAACTCCACGTTGGATGAGAAAATGAGTGTCAGATCCGTGATGGTCCATGCAGCGTTTCATAGAGACCATGCCCTTTAAAACAAGAATTCGATAAACGTCCAATTACTTTAATTAAAGCACGTAGACGTGTAACGCGACTGAATGAGCAGCGATAACATGCAGACAATTTCTAGCCACGTTGGATCACGCGGACACTCTCAACCGGAAAATCTTTCCTCGCCCGGAGCGATGGGTTTCGCGTTTTCAGAGAAGCTAACACTCACGAGGTATACATGTAGCTCGCCTTGTGCTTTCTCGCATTCTTCCGAGCGCTATCTAGCCCGGAGGAGTTCGCCGGTAACTAACAATCGTTCTTTGCGTCGTCGCTGACGTTGACGAGTGACAACGAACTTCCGTTTTACGTTTGGCTGGCACGAGAGTTCTCGGAGCAGCCCTCCCGATAACACCAGCCCGGCTTACCAGCCAAAGAGACGAAATACGTTCTCCGCTATCAGTAGGAGCCATTATTCCGCGGCCGGATGAAATTAGAGACAGTGTTTGCGCCTGTTCAAATTCCAATGGCGAATTCCAGCCGCGCGTGTGATTTTGCACCAACGGCGATGGGCGACCCTGTCCCTCGTGTTCCCAGGCGCACTTACAAACAGAGGGCGGCTTGTTTAAGCAACGGCGGTACGCGACGCGTGTAGATATTCGACTACGCAAACACGCGTCTACTAAAATCCGTTCGAGTCACGACTCCTACTACCGTCCCGCAATTCGCGTCGGAATTTCTTGTCAAAGATCCCTTACTGCGTTTCAAGATCGAGCGCAATATAATGCCGAGCACGGAACAAGAAAGCACCGTCTAAATCTGTTTCTTCTTCCCCCCACGCTCCGACCCGCCCGCCTCGAGACGTACCGAGACATGAATGCTTCATTCCACAAAAAACGTTTGCGATTCTTGAAAAGTTGACGGCCGCAAATCCTTGAACGTTTCACTCGAGGAACCTCGCGAAGCATCCTTTTCTTTTAACTCCCCGAGACCCGCCCCTTTTCATTTTATTCGGTTCGCCGGCACGGGAAAAGCCCCTCGCGAGGAAACTTATCACAGCGCGGATGAGAACGTCATGAATCGTGAAAAGTTTTGCCGGACTCGCGGCAACGTTTCTTTGTAAACGAACACCAACGACCCCCGGATCGTTATTCAATAATGCCACGGTTTCTGATGACACGGAAAAACCGGGTATGGATGCTCGCCGATGAAAGTGAATATATTGGAAAACTGTTCGACTGCTCGCTGTGAAGTCTAATAATAATAAGAAAATTCCGATATGGCGAGGCAAAACAAATTCGCAATAAGAAATAAGGCAATAAGAATGATATCACAATTCGAGCCATAATTGCTCAAGTATAATGAAAAATAGAGAACGTTTAGCTATTGAGAATGTTAAGAAGATTAGAAAGAGGAGTCTTCCTCTCGATAAAGTATGCGAACCCAGTATAAAAAGTTACAACAAGTAGAATAAGAAAATACAAATTACAGACGCACCAAAGAAACAGACTTTGAGGTAATCATGTGATTATTTATTTATTTCTTTATTTATATTGAAGCACAAATGTGATATAAAGTTTACGGTAAATTATAGGCAGTAAGCTGAGACAAACAAGGGGTGTTATATAGGTTTTCCCCAGAGACCCGAAAAATTGCAATACGAACTGCTTGGCAATAAAATATGTACTTCTCTCTCTAATCTATTATTTATACACTTTTTTACGATATCGTGATCCAAAGATTTTATTAGTGTGGCCATAGACTCGTAAAAAAGTTATGTGTAACACGCGACAGCTATAGGAGATCGTTATATCGCACTCGGTATATGATGAACTTGTACGTATGTAGTTCTGCCTCCCTTAAGGTAAGCTTACGTTAGGGGTAGATGGCGGATTAGATGATTACAAGGTAAGAGAGCTGGCATAAAGTCGAGCACAATAATTGGCGTTTATAGAAACAAGGTCGACTTTTGAAGTCCGTTTCAATATTGCGGTTTCTTCGAGGAAATAACTTATTCGCATGGTAATGGACTAGATACGAGGCAAAGTTAACCATTGGCGACTTCATTCGATTCCTGAGAAATGCTAAAATATCCGCTTTACACGAAACGTCGCTCGTCATTTTAATAAATAATAAAACGTTTCTATCTCGCGTTAATAATTTCTATGCATCTCATGAAAAATGCGGAAAAATAACCGTTCGAATGAATGTGGATTTATTTGATAAAAAAAGTTCCGTGCACCTTTGAAAGTTTAATTTTACGTAACTGTTTGATCGATCATCGAGTCTTTGACCTAGAAGAGCCGACGGTAACGAGTTTCATCAAAAGTTTGCCGGCCACCGCGAGGGCGAGATACTCGGCGTTCTTCTCGTCCTAATATTGTTTTACGATCCAACGATACAACGGAACATCAGTCGACGAAACGATCGTACGACTTATACCCACGTGCATACCTCGCCTTCAATATCGTATACATTTTACCTCGGCCCTCCGCCGCAACTAGTTTCCATCAACGTTAATGCGTCGAGTGTAAAGTTACACTACTGTGCACATAGGTACTGCGTTGCTGTATTAGTCCGCATCGAAATACGTCTAAAACATACAATTATTTTAGTACCTAAGCGAAGTCTAATTGGCAACGGTCTGTTTCGTCTTTCTAGTGGAACAGATTCGTGAAAGAGAAAATACGGACAATTAAATAAATGTAAAGCGTCGCGTGATCAATTCCCGCGTCTAATCAGGTAAACGAAATCTGTTGAATACAGGTAGGAAATTTATGATTCCGGAATTAATCATTCAGTTCACGAGACACGAGCGACGTTCCGCCGCCTAAATGAATTACGCGCTCGACACCTTTTAATTCTGGCTCGTCGGCAGGTGTAACCGGTGACAACGTCGTTTCGCTAATTTTCCGCGAGCAGCTACGAGCAGCCCGGGCAGATCCTGTCAGGAGTTCTCGGTGGCTTGGTCCTTAATCCTGATAAACTGAAAAGTGACTTCAGCCGTGGGCTCGTTTTTCCGGCTACCGCGGACCCCGTTAATAAATTTGTGTTTACGATGTCTGCCTCTGGATATTTTTGTCTCCCCCGGCTATCTCGCAACGCGGGGTCGGCCCGGTCGGTCCACCCCGCCGAACCGTATAAATATCCCGGCGAGCACGGGGTTCCGCTCTCGGCATTAACCAATCTCCGCGCTCCACGCAATCTCGTGCCACGTGTACTACGGATTAGGCCGATCTAATCGTGTCTTCAAATAATATATCGCGCAACCTTTAAACAACCTTGTACGTGCACCGAATATTCTTCTTCATCCCTGTCTTAATCCTTCATCCCTTACCGAAAAATCTTCCCTATCCGTTGCCGTCCTTCGCAAACGAGGATATTCAGCGCGGGCTCAACTACGTTTTATTTGAACGCGCGTATAATTATTCTCTTTCACAATCCGGGTGTTCCTCGAAAATACAGTGTTAAATTTGTATTCTTTATAATCACGACGAATGGGGACAGATTTGGTGCTCTCGAATCGTGGAAACGTGGGCAGGTTGAGGAATATAAAACGTGCAAGAGGCGTCGCGTCGGCTCGATCGAGGAACGATCGCCTTCGATCCGGACTGGGCACAAAGACACGGATATGACAAAGAATCGCTTCCATTCGGCGACGTACACCGGGAGATCGATCAAAGCTAAGCAGATGAAATTTTTCATCGATGCCCTCTGAATACGAAAACGACATCGCGACAAAGCTTTGTTATATTCTTGCTCGCTTACTTTGCCCGGTACCCCTTTAATGATAAAGATCCTTTCTTCGAGCGATCAATCAGATACCTGATCCTCCCGCATAACGGGCGCGAGCCACGATCGTTGCCCAATGAACCGACGTATCGGTTTTACTATTCAATCGTTCGACTGCTCGATATGTTTATATACATACCTAACCTACTGGAATCCAATCTATTCTATATATTTTTTATATATAAATATTTATAGAAAATTATTACATGTAATATAAATATCCTATACGTATATATGTATAAAAGTATGTACGTGATGACGTTAATTTAACAATTCATTTTTATCGTCCGATATTTCAAGCATTTATTTCTTATCGTATATATAATTCACCAGCGAAAGATTACAGTATTTATGTCCCGGCGAGAGAAATCGATTCCCGTGAATGCGGAACCTGGAGCAAAGTTTACGTTCCCAAGAAGAAGAAACTTTGGTGTAATCATTGATTCATTCTCCTATTTATTGCAGGAAGCTGGTCAACTTTGCAGCTGGCAGTGAATTCGAGGCACGTTGGATCGAACGGACGACGGAGCTGTTCGTCGTGACGTTCGACTGAAGAGAGGTATAAATACGTGCGTACAAATACGATTAAGGGAGCTGGCGTGTCGAAGAACGCGCCGCGCAGACCTGACAGAAGCACCTTACTCCGACGCAGGGGACCGATCGTGCAACTGTTGGGTCTACGACGTGGGTCCTGCCACAGGGGTGCTCCCATTGTAATTTGAAGTCTTGGCGAGGGTGGCGACGAGGGCCAGACGTCTCCGCGTTCAACCCTCGAACAATGCGAGGGATGCGAATGGTTAGCGTAATTCGCCAGTGTCGAAATTCGCCGGTGCAGTCTCCAGACGTTTCACCCCTCGTGAATGCGTCACCACCGTTACAAAGCGTTTCCCCCTTTGACTCTCATCTCGCCGACCTTACGCGCAATAATTACTGATGTTTAATAAATAGTGTAAATAAATGTTTGTAATTAGTACTGTAATGGAAACGAAGATAAAAGATCGGAATGAGTAAAGTTTTAACGCCTGGGGTGAAGCTCGGTCGGCGACGCTTCCGGCTATTGTAATTCGAAATCCTTCAACCGGAACTCAGCGTTTCGCATTAACTGTCAAGCCTTAGGGCTGAGTGGTCGCAGTAATTTCGTTCCGCCGGAATTTGTGGCCGTCGCCACCACGAGACACTCGCGCACAATGCCCGGTAAGTTCCCGAGGAATTCGCGTTATCCGCGAGACAGACATCCCACGGCTACGAAAGCGAACTTCCCGATTCCGGTAATTATACATCGCATCGAGGCTCCCTCCGCCGGCCGAACTTCCTCCGCCGAGCGCAACGTTTCTGATATCGCGTGCCATTGTTTCGTATCTGGAATCGATGAAATATCGAGTTCGACGCGTGTAACTCGGCCCGAGACCGGGGTAATCGCGGCCATTTATCGATAACCCGAGCGGTAATTACGGTGAAATCGGGACGTAAGTAGTCGGCAGCGTCGCCGCCTACGTAATTTTGTTTGGTCGCAGCTGTGGAAACACTCACGGAAACGATCGCGGCGGAGTTAATTAAAAGTCAACACGACAGGGGCCGGTGAAAAAGTTCGACTGTTCCTAGAACGCGACACGGGACAGATAAGATCCGGACGTAATTTCATCATTGCTTTAAGACGCTGTTTGTGCCGAGACTTTGTCGACTCCATTAACGACCGTAGATTTCAGTTGACCGTAGGAGCGTAACCGACGTAATTGAAACGCGTTAGCCGAACGGCAAACATGGCAGTGGATAAAAATTCACGAAGCCCTCGTCCCGACGAATTTCGAGCGGCGAATGGATTTCCGATTTCGCGGAAATTTACAGCTCGATAATCGGGAAGCGTGCCAAGACGGCGGCCGGAGTGAAAGGAAAACATTTGGTTTACGCCAGCGACGCATCACGGATGAAAGCTGTTTTTTTTTCCTTGTTCTATTCCGCGGCTCCCTCGAACTCTCGGGAAGAAACAACTACGAAACGACGACGAACTTGCAGGGCGGTTTTTCCTCGGGGTCGGTTAGCTGAACTTTCGCAGGGTGTGATACAGCCCCGGGCACACGATCAGAAACGCCGCGCGCCTCCGAGCTTTTCCTCCCTTATTCACCCGAAAATGGTCGATAGTGTGCCTCCTCCTGCAGGGGCTTCTGGATTCGGGGAACGAGCGCGTTTACTCTCGTTAAGATGAGTGCCGTGGGGTGATTTACCCTCTTTACTCTGCCGCGACACTCGGCCCGAGTCCTCCCGTGGGAGAGCCGGGGAAGAAGGCGCCGGGAAACGGAGAGTAAAACGAATCGTTCGCCTTACAAGATCCTCTTATCCTCGGCAGCGACGCGAGGAGAGATTGAAAAGTTCTTCTCGCCGTTCATCCGGTCGCTTTTTTCCTCCACCGTTACCATAAAAATTCGCCGGCTCGATCCGATTGATCACCGAGCTCGTCGCACTTTAATCGCATTAGATACCTAGCCTCGAGCTTAGCGCCGAGTCGACGGGGACCCATAAACCAAACGTTTTATTTATCTCTACGAAATTCTCATCGCGACGGTAATAACGACACGAATCCCGGCAAAGACAAAAGCGGAGGACCATTAAATACATCGACAGCCCGGCCGGAGACGGTGGAAATACACAATGGACAGGCGGGAATTTTATGTAAAGAGTGGTTTAACGAATGGCATTGTTATCGTTTCGAGATGAAAAATTATGGAGCCCCTCGAAACGAAAAGCGGGAGGTGAGAGGCGGTGGTCGGTCGGTCTCTGGGCCGTGGGACACGGACGGAGGCGAGACAAGAACCGAGCACCTGCACCGAGTAAATCAATAGCTCCTTCGCAAAGTACGAAGAAAAAGGTGTCTGAATACGTAGGTACTCGGCGGGTTCTTTCCGCGGCCGGTTGTTCCACCGGCGTCGATTCAACGCGACTTTAATAAACCGTCGATCTCTGGAATCCTTGAATTCATATTTTTTTCCCACGATTTTATCTGATACCGGCGCTCTCGTCCACGCGCTTGTTTACACGCTTGAAATCGCGAAACAGAATCAACCAGCGCGGTTTAATAATGTTTATTCCCGCTCTTATTTCACCGTTTTATTCGCCGTTTTTCTCAGCCAACGCCACATATTAATAACGTTATCTTTTTACCGTTTCGAACGTTCACTCGAATATTTCTAGGGTGCGTTAATAAATTGTTGATGTTACAGGATACTTTTTATGTGGGAAACTTTCGCGTATCTGTATCTAGTAAAATACATATTTTTGCCGGGTGAGAAACGGCACAGATATCGTATCATCGATTGTCCTGAGAATAATTCGCCGAAACCAGGTTCATTTAGCAAAATGTAGAATACCTCTGGAATAACGTGCGGAGTGGATGAATAATTCTGGCGGCTCGTCGCGGAGAAACGACGGAGGATATTTCAGAACGTGATTCGGGAGTAATTTCTAACGTGGGTCGTATACGCCGCGGTACAAAAGTGTTCCGAATGAAAAAGCGCGATAGGTTGCTGGGGCAACGTCGCTGTCATTTGTACCTGTTGAGGCAATCGTGTACACCAACCGTTCCCGAAGACCCCGCCTACGATTCCCGGCCGTTTCTACCGACTTAAACTTCGACTTTGACGTCGACTTTATGCCCCGCTGTCGAGGGATCTATCCGTCCGCTTCTGGAATTCAAACGACCCCGCTTATTTCCCGGTAGTATCGCGGAAACCGAATGTGGATCGCGACATTTTTTACTCCAACAACAGAGATCGTGGAGGACGAATGAAAATTGGATGTGAACCGAGTATCGCTCGTTTGCTGTTTCTGGGAACCGTGTCTTTGTGCTGTTTTTTCGCGATCGGTTCGCGACGAAATAATAGAAATTGATGACAATGGTCGAGCGGTCAAAGGAGAGACAAATCGTATCGCTTCGATGGGTACAACGCCGGCGGCGAGCGCGTTAAAAGCAGAGACACCGCGAGTCGAGCCGGGGTAGAAGGCACCGAGGAGATGAATGGAAGGAATAAATAAGAGGACGGTCCGATGCGAAGGGTGGAACGAGAGAAAAAAGAAGAGGCACGGCCGTGGAGGGATGATAAAGGGTGGAGAGGAGAAGAGTCTCACGGGCTCCTCGTCAAAAAAGATGAAGTCACCGTGGTTTTGGGGCGGCACAGAGAAGCGGGGTGGGTGAGTTCTTTAAGGTAGGGGGCATGCGCGGCGTCCGGGGGTGCAGGACGCCATCAGGGGGTTAGTCGCTTGCCAACAACACGACGCGTCGCTCGCGCATCGTGATCGCTCGACTCCCGCTTCATACCCGCGCGTAACGGCGTCCTCTCCATTTCTGCTTCGCTTTCGCGTCGGTTCCGCTCGGCCCGGCTCGGCACCGACTTCGCGCGCTCACCGAGTCGCGCGTTACGAACGCGCACGGACGGGACAGCCAGCCGCGGGATTCCGCGCGCCGTCGAACACGAAACAACCGCTCGAACAAACTTTCCGTCTCGTACGGACGCCGGAGACAAAAGTTTCGAATCGATAATCGAAGGTGCTTCTCTTCCTCCCTTTCGCGGCGTTTTCGCGCGCGGAAGACAGATAGTTTATCGGTGATGCCGCTCCGAGGGACGGAACTTTCTCCGGCGGTATTATGTCGAGATTAGGACCCGGGGGACTTCCGGAAACGATATCGGTCACAGACTGCGGGAACTCGGCCCTCCTCGCACCGGTGCTTATGCGGGAAGCGCGGGCCGCCGTCGCGGGGACCTCGGCGATCCTTTCGCGCGGTGCGCGAATCGAAGTGATCGAACGAGAGTGCGAGTGAACCGCGAGGTGCTCGCCAATCGACCTCCGATCGGAATTCTAACGTGACGCAACAGTGCAGTGATAAGTGGACCGGAAATCGCAACGCGAGGCTGCTGCAACGTGTGACTGCAGTGAGCGACGCGAAAAAGTGCGCGTAACTTCGATCACCCTCCTTCGAGACTGCACCTCGTTCGCCTTTTGGATGTTACGCGTCTGTGTCGCAGACCGAGCGACCAAGGTACGTTACAGCCCTTCGTCGACGGAAATCGTCGATACCCGCGCCTGATTTAATTACACTTATAATTAATAAATCACCAATTGCAGTTCCCGTCGACGCTATAATTTGCAAACCAAGTCTAGATTGATTCCATGAATTGAAACGCGCCGGTATTACTCGAGTGTTAATTACTCGGTGGGCTGACAGGCATTAATCCGGCGGCGAGAAACCTTATCTAGACGGTATTTAAATTGTATCTCGATACGAGCAATTTACCGTGAGAGTTATATACGTGCCGTACGGTTCTACACGCGTCACGATTGTTTTAAACCGTGTATAACGGGAATACTTATGCGCATGGTTGTTAGCTCGTGCAAATACGTAATACAGACGTACATCGAAACTAATTACAGAAGTTCGTTTCTCATTTAACAATGAAATTATAATAGCGGAACGGACGCGTGTATAGCCTTGAAATGTGCACGTATACGAGCATTGCGTGCATCGGACCAAGTTACGTCTCGAATTGAATTTCGAAATTTTACCGTGTAGAGTAAAACGTAACGCGATTCTACTGAAAACTTCACGTGATTTTTCGCGCTGAATAAACGATCTCTTTTTCATAATCAGTTTTTACAAACAAAGTAAAGAACCGACGTTCCTAAGAGAATAATCGAGTGGCGAGAAGTGTATAATCGTTGTTCGTTTCGCGTCGCACGACAGGGCTCGTTGACGTTGATATTCAAATTAGCGGGCACATCGCGTGCCTCATTTTTCGCCGAGATTAAACAAGCGACGTTGAACGGTACTTAATGTTCGATTTAATTGAAATCGCGGGTAGATATCGGAAGACGTTGCGCTTTTCGCGACGATCGATCTTGTCCCGGTGGAGACGATAAATACTGTAATCACGAGTTCGCCACGGAACGGGCACTCGTTTGGAATTTCGTGCACAGCCACGTATCGTTGCCGCGATGCGTGACGGGAGAACCGTAGAAAGGCGAGTGGCTTCCCGAAGTTTGCCTGCAGTTCCGAGCTCGGCTGTCGTGCGACAAGAAACGCGAAAAGCTACGTAGTCGGAGTTTTGAATATTACAGACACCGTGCCTGGTCGATTCGACGTCGACCCGGCGATTTATCTTCATTCCCGAAACGTAATTTCGCCAATTGGTTCCCATCGATCGGCCCGAAGCCGGAGTTATTCCGAAATACGGGACGTTTCGACGCCGGACGTCCGAGAATTACACAGCGTAACAAAAGTTCCCACGGACGATGTCAAAACGCGGAATTATGGCACTGACCGAGCCATGAAATGTTGCTGCGATTTGAACAAATATTTCAATAAATAAAGATGAATTCGTTGCTTCATAATTACGCGTATCAGCTACGGTAAAACCGTTCTTGGAACCTCGTAATTCATCGATCTGAAAAATTTTCGCAGTTGGGAAACCGTGGATAACGGCCGGTACCCAATTACGGCGTTAATTAAATGCAGAAATCACTCGGACCTTTAATAACTGCTAATCCGGCATTATTAACCGAAAGCCGACGATAATCGTTCGACGGGGGATCGCGCAACAACGGGCGAAATTGAATTAATATAATGCGTGGTAAGTGGCTCGGGGAAAGCGGCTCCGTGAGCGCCAGGGCGGAAAGGAAACGCGGAGAGACGGCAGAGAACGCGACATCTAATCATTCCGGGCGTGATTCCGAAAGAGCATAATGGGCCGATGGATAATTAATTACTTCGATTGCGATTAAGGGAGAGTGTCGCGCGGATTGCCCTGGTCGGAGTCCCGACCGCTCTCTGCATTTGGTCACTTTGTTAATTGCCGTTCCATTTATCCGCGGTTTCATCGAGGTTTCGGGAGAGAGGGGAAAAATCTACCTATCTTGATAAATAATTGTGCGTAGTAATTTCGACGATGCAGAGGAGCGCAATTGCACGCTTTATGAACAGATAAATTGTTTACATGAACCATCGTACAAAACTGTATCGTTTTTTTTTTTAACTTTTCAACGTTTGTCAACGAAGGTACGAGAAACGCTGCAGAAATAAAAATGAACAACCCTTTGTTGTTATTAAAGAGTTAATTCACGAAGTAATATTCGATAAATTAACAAAAATATTGCATATTAAACGACCGGGGGAGGACTGCTCACCGTGAAAGAGCTTATTCCTTCAAATAATTGTTTCTTTCGCCTCCTTTGTTCCAAGCCGTTTGTAAAAGTGAGGTACCGTAAGGGGGACAATGCTTTTCATTTTCTTCCCGGTTTTTCTACTCTCGCGGACGTGACTCGCAGGTGTCGACCGTCGTAAAAAAAATTCGATTTCATCCCCGAACGTTGACGCTGGCTGGCCAATAATGAAACTTCTGTTCGGAACGGTCTCTTCTTTTATCTTAGGAAAATACCATCGGTCTAATGGAGAACGGTACGGCGGCGGTGGCAGGAAATTTTTCTAACTCCTCTCAGTTTTTATACAGACGTCGCAGAGAAACTGCCGTCGGACGGCGTTTCGTTTTACTATTTTCCTTCGCGCGTATCATGGAATATGTCTGATAGCCGACCGTATTTCATCCGGTCTCGCGGAATATTCGGCCGGCTGTAATCGGGTGCGTCGCGTCGCTTTTCTAATAACGTATCTACGTGGCACGACGGTATCCACGCTCGTATTCGCACGGGTAAAAGACCACGAAGTCCGGATCGCGGATAAAAATTGTCTTCTATTAATAGTGATAGCGTATAGATATACACCGGAGAAATCCCCGGTAATGGAAAAGTACGGAGGCACGGTAGCTAAATCCTCCGATAATATCGCGCCGTCCCGACGCTTCGATTCGGATTCCGAATTGGGTCATAGATGGTAGAGGATACATGGCTGATATCACTTACCGGAGAGTATTTGAATATACATACAAATTCAAATCAATTAAGCTACAATAATATACGAGAAGCGGCGGGGCATTAACAACGAGAGTACGTTTTGCGCCAGTCGACTCGTCGACTGAAACGCGATACCATTTACGTAACTATTGTCGATGGCTCGCTATAAAGTCGTCGACATTTTATGAAATGACGACGAATCGAGAAGACAATTTTCACGGTACTAGATGTTGGAATCCTGGAGTATTTAAAAATCGCAACTATTCCACTCTTGGCACGTGGAAATAACGCGCGATCGCCGGGAAAACAGATAAAAAATTATAGCCCCTCGGGAATGATCCGAACGGCCGTTCTGCAAATTTAATTCGCGGAACGAGTCCGATGCAGCAGTAATTTATTAAACCATTCACTCCGGGACGCATTGATTTCGCGCGAACTAGTCTGCCGCTCATTGTATTACGTCCAGCGCTACTTTAGCAATAACGTGTTTATTATAAATATGATCGTTAGCCGCGTGCCACGGTATATAACTGCGTCGAACGGCAATTAGTGCAAGTGCAACGTATAGCGATTTGTCGCGTTTAACCGTATAATACCGTTGCTCCATTTCCCGAATAAATTACTTCCTACCGGTTTAGATAAGCTTCCCGATTGCCGGACGCGTGCACAGAGTCGTAAATTTCTTCGGGAAAAATACGCGTTCTGTCCTATTAGCTTGATGCATATGAAATGCGTGCGCTTCTTCAAACAGACAGGATGGATGCATTATTTGTAGCCATCTTAACAGTTTCCATAGCACAGAACAAGTGTATTTATTTGCATAATTCTTCGCAACATATTTGAAATACATACGTATAAAACTTGGGTCACGCTTTTGTGATAATTAGTGGTTTCCTTGCCAGTCATCCGCTAAACACTATTATTAGAGAATATTACGTAGGAATAATTTATCGCGCGAGCCCGGACAATTAAATAACATGGTTACCACAGTGTTCCATAGCGGGAGCGGAAACTGTGCAGCGATCTTGTCCAGAGTGGTACGAGTGGGAAGAAACAGGTTGAAGAAATGAATGGTCACGATGGGACAAAGGAGCGGACTCGACGGCAAACGGGGAAGAAGAAGGTCTAAATAAAGCGGTGAAAAAGGCGAAAGCAGCGGACGCGAGGCAAAAAGGAAGTAGGAATTCCTAGGGGAGGACGAGGGGTGGGGGATAAAACCCGGAGGGAGATCACGGAAGGTAAAAAGTGTTAACGAATGAACGAGGAGGAGCGCTTGAACGTTCTACGTTTACCCAGGGCGTTTAATTCAATGGGTCGGGAATAAATAATGTATCTTTGATAAAGACGGACGGTCGACCGGTGCAACTGGCCCGTATGTTCTTGGCCTCCGGGCCAAAGAACCTTAATTATTCAAAGACAAGAGCAATGCCGTCGGGCGACATGGCCGCCGCTATTACCTCTATTCCGTCCATCTCCCACGCTCTTTCGTTCCTTGCCCCAGCCTCGGTCAGTTATTTCATTTCGAGAATGGAAACCGTAACTCTGCTCCTGTGTATTAGCTGTAATCTTACCCGTTAAATAGGGCTTTACGCAGGGATTCATCGCATTAACGCCGGCCGTCGAAATCTCTACCGGCTCAGTAAAATCGTTCTGAATCATCGAAAAAGTGCGCTGAATCTATTTCGCGACGTATTCATATTTACGGTCGGCTCGTAGAATACGAAATAGGAAGTCGCTTGAAAAAAAAAGATGGAAATTTATTCGCGACCGGAAAGCATTTCGTGGCCTTAGAATTCCTCTCATGTGCCGCGGCAATGAAACTGGGTCATTAAAGAAAAGGGAACGTATCGAAACTGTGACGTTCTCCTAGCGTCCTAAGGTTTACGAATTTCATGGCATCGATACCGACCGGAATAACAGGTTCAGAGTAACGAAGAAGGAAGCGTGAAAAGTGGGGAGGATTTATCGCGGCCGGACGTCCGGAATCCCGGCGCGGGAAATAAAAGAACTCGGGGAGAACGAATTCGTGGGGTATGTACAAACGCGTGACACCCGACCGCGGTTTAATTGCGAACGGTCGCCGCGTAGAACTGAACGTGTATCTTTGCCTCGTCGGCGACATAAAATATTGAAAAT